GGGGGGGGGGGGGGGGGGGGGGGGGGGGGGGGGGGGGGGGGGGGGGGGGGGGGGGGGGGGGGGGGCTGGCAAAACCAAGCGGTGGGGAATTGCCTGTGATACCTTGACCACGTTCGACAACGGTCTATCCCTGGTGTAGCGGTGCCCATGGGACGGCAGGCGTCTGTCTATCCAGTGTGAGTTCGTCTTCGAACCATGCAACCATTGCTGTCTCGTGCGCATCGGACGGTACCCTGGCCTTCCCCCGTCAACAGTGCTCACAGGCATATCACCCCGAACAAGGGGCGGAAAATAGCCCGCTAGACCTCTCACCCCCGCATTCCCCTCTCCCGCACCGCACGTTCTCTCTCGCTCTCTCGCGCTTCGGTCACCCCGAAACAACGGTAAGGGCATGACCCTGGAGGAGTACGAGGAGATGAAGCGGCGGAAGCCCGCTGGGAAGCGGGACCCGGCGGTCACCGAGGAGACGAGGAAAAAGATCAGCGCTCGGCTGAAGGCTAAGTGGCAAGATCCAAGCTACCGGGAGCGGCGCAAGCAGTGCATGCCCAACCGCAAGGGCGTCCCGCATACGGAGGAGACCAAGGCCCGCATCTCGGCGGCCGTCAAGAACAAATGGAACGACCCGGTGTACCGAGAAAAGGTGAGGCGGGGAAAGGATGAGGGAGGTTGGGGGGCGCTCATTTACTGGCAGGCTCGGAATTACGGCTCTTGCGTGTTTTTCGTTTAAACGGGGTGCGCTAGCTTTCGCGAGGGACGCAATGCGGGAGGGGGTGCAGCGCCTTCGCGCGCTGGTAGGGTTGTCTGGTGGTGTGGAGCCACAGGAGGTCTTGCTTAATGTTGGCACGCGTGCTCATGACGCACTACGGCAGTGTTCTCTTTGCCGACGTATAGCATTCGGTGAGCAACTCGCGCGGACGCCCCCCTGCTCTATGTGGACAAGCACCCCTTCTGTGTTTCGGGCGCGCACCGTTTTTCGCCGCAACCGCAACAACCACCCGGTTTTTGTTGGATACACGGGAGCGCGGCGCACATTCGAGAGTGCGTGCCGCTGTCTTGCTCTCTAGCTCTGTCTCGCCTGCTCTGCTCTACTTCAAAAGGACGTCGCCTGGTTGCAACGGCTAACCTTAGCCGAACGTCTGCCGCCTCGGGTGTTGTCGTTTGTTGTTGTCGTGGCCGAAAATTATGGTGGCGGCAGATTACCAACATGGAAAGGAGCGAAGAGACACGGGCAAAGATCGGCCAAATCATCCGGGAGCAGTGGGCTAACCCAGTGACTAGAGAGGTGAGCGATCCCTCCAGGGTAGCCCGCAAGTTTTCACCTGAGAAGTAGAGGGCGAAACACCACCGCCGCTCCCTTGCCCTGCACCATTGGTAAAACGGCAAGTGCATCGATCGCCCCTTTGCTGGTCCCAAGCTGGCTCTGACTTGTTTTTACTCGTCCAAACGTCATGCGTCCATTTCCTAGTATTCAGCAATTGTATGGTGCCGTGCTCTGCGCAAGCCTACTGCCACGCACTTGTTTGTGGTGGCACACCTGCCCACTCCTCAACACTGCTCGTCGTTTATTTTCCCCTCCTCCCCCGCCCCTTCCCCATTAGGAGCGCCTGAAGAACATGGCCCCCCGTACCGAGGAGCACAACCAGAAGATCGCGGCATCGGTCAGGTCCAAGTGGTTAGACCCGGAGTATAAGAAGAGAACCTCAGAGGCGATGAGGAAGGCGGCCCACGACCGGATCATCGCCAGCGGTGGGGTGCCGAAGCCGCCCAGAGTGCGGCGCCCCCGGGTCCCGCGCGCCCCCGGGGAGCCCGGCAGTCGCGCGTCTAGGATAGAGGGGGTGGGGATCTCCCGCGAGGCGCAGAGGAATCTGAACAGATGGGCGAAGCAGAGAAAGGATGCTGAGGTCAGTGCTCGAGGCGTGGGTGTTTCCGAGTGGAGAGCGGCGGTTTTTTTGTGTTCAACCGCGAGCGAGAGAGGGAGGCGACGGAGATTAGTCCAGCGAGGCAGAGAACAGGATGAAATCTTTTAGCCGAGGTTTCGGTTTTCGGTCAAGAGAGGCGTCTTTCTTGTCCCCACACTCGCGCGAGTCTTGTTTGTCGGTGATGGTATAAGATACCCTCTACATTTCTCGTTTTTCGAAAGATGCGGCCGCTTTTTGAGGCTGACGTTGTGGTCGTAATGGCGTCGGATTGTAGTTTCATGTTTTTTTTTTTGTGGATCCTCCTTTACTCCTGGGGCATCTTTTGGCCACGACAACCTGTGCCCGTGGGGGCGGCGGGGGGTTAACAGGGGCAACGCAGGGTGTCAAGAGAGTGTAAGGCGAGCTTGTGCGGAAGTCCTGTCTGACTGCCTCATGTTCGTGCCTGTTGTTGCCTAGGTCGTTCGCTGGCGAGCAAGCCTGCCACAGCCGCAACCTGCACGCGTCGTATATACCTCGAACTCGTTGTGAACTTGATCGCTCCATGCTCTGGCCCCTTCGAACGACGTGTTTTGACATCCTGTGTAGCCAACTGGCGATTACAGACGCAAAGTGCACCAAGACACATGCACCTAATCCAGTCCACTTGTGCCCATCAAACGAGTGGCCTCCTTCGCCTCCCCTTGGCGCTGCCTTGTAGCTGACTGCTGTTCTCCGCGATATGCATGGCTTGTTCAACTGTGTGTAGTTCCTGCCGCATTATACGAAAACGCTGAAGGGGTGAAGTTTGACGAGCGACAATGCTGTTGGGGGTGTGTAACAAACTCACCTTTGGAGCTATCCAAATCACACCTGCATTCTTCGGGGCACACAATTTACCAACACCCCTGTGACATTAAGCAGGTGAGATTGATGAGACAAGCGAAGAAGGAGGAACGGGAGCGGGAGGCGGCGACCAAGCTGGCCATCAGGGAGGCCAAGGCGGAGGCCGAGCGGATTGCGCTCGAGGAGGAAGCGGCTCTGACGGAGGGCCTCGACGACCTGGAGAAGGTCCTGATGCGGTCTACCATCCGCGCCAAGGTGTGTGTGTGTGTGTGTGTGTGTGTGTGTTTATTAGCATCGACCGCGCTAATCTAACCGGCTGACCAATGAAAAGACGTCAGTCTTAGTGCGGTTGAAAACACAAAACACTTCTATCTACCATGAACTGGGACCCCGTGAGGGGGCAGCATGGTGGAGGCCAAACTATCCTTGGGATTAAAAACAGAAACAGCAGCAACAGACGAAAAATGCACGCGTCTACCAAGGCTATTACCTAGTACTCGAGNATTCATTTCCCTTTCCTTCGTCTTCGTCACTCCCAAAATAATTACTCTCACCAC